TGAATTAAAATTAGCAAGGAACACTTGTTATTATTTATTTATTATCTATGACGATGAGTAAAAGATACGGAAATATATTGGCTATGAAACTAATTATCAAACTAATTATTCATCATTAAGTATCTAAATATTCTTCACAATAAAGCGCATTAAATAAATACAGTGAATCGGTATGTTGTATTTTTCAATACGTTTTCATATGATGTTCATCGTGATAAATTAAGTACATATTTTTCAATTAATCGTTTCATCATTTATTTATTTATTTCTCATTTATTTTGTACTTCTAAATCTATGTGAAAAATATTATTTACTAATCTAGAAAGATTAATACGTTTAACACAGTGACATTGATTCAATGTGTTCCATATATGAATTATGCACGCATGTGAACATACTTGAAGTGGCCACGTGAATCTCATAATACGAGCCAATGACTCTGCAACTAGTAACTAAGTCGAGCAACATTGTACATGAATCATTCACGATAGTATCAAATTTTTATATGTCAATTTATTAAAGAAAGTATTATTTTCACAACCAGGATTTGCACAGTTGACGTAAGTTTGATAATTATCTAAAGAATCAAAGCAATGATGTAAACTTGATCTTTGATTGATATATCATAACAAATATAATTTCATTCTATGATTATTTTATGATTGACTTATTTTATAATTATATAAATATAATAATAAAATTTTATTCGTTTCTGCTCTGTGATATTCTTTTCCACCTGTTTTTATCATTGCGCAGCATAGCGTTTAACTTCATGTCATAATTGACTCGTAGGTTAGGAAGATTACGGTTTTTTATCCTATGTTTTTTTATTCTAATCTTCGCGATAAACTGTAGATAAATTGCGACAAATTTTTATTTAACATTGTAGATTTCTAATTACAAATTTTGTAAAGTTCTATGTTATAGTATTTGTTGTTTAATATTCCTTACGTAAAGAATAATCTACAAACATTTATGCTAATCAAAGTATAATCGAAGCATAGCCTGATAAGTTTTTTTTACGCATTTATCAACAGTAACACGTGACACGCGAAGTCGCGCGATTCCTAACATGGTGGTTGAATATGACCACAGATATACGTAGTTTTATTTCTCGAACTCTCAAATCCTCAAATACTTCTCAACCAATCAACTCTTCTAATAATAGATCAAACAAATTTCTCCAAGTCTATTTTTAATACATAAGCAATTTTATTTTTTAAATTCATTCGTATAATACATGTGTTGGATGACACGAAAAGTGAATATACATTTACGATAAGTCATACTTGATGTAACAATTTCCAATGTCAAACTAATGTTACAGACCTACTTTCATTCCATTCACAGTGACTCGCAAAAAATGTAAAGTGTAACGCGCCTTAGGAATATAGTTTATTTTTTTAAATTTATTGCAATAATTGTTTAATATTTATTGATGTATGTTTGATGATAACAATGCATAAATAAAACGATAAAATTACCAATATACTATTTATAGTATATATGTGAACGGTTTACTCGTAAATACAATTGAAATAAACAAGTTACTCTTGTTATCTTTCTGCAATTATCACTCATCATAATATGTTATAAGAGTAAAAATCTATCATGTAATTCTGCAATGTGAATGTGCTATTCAGGAAAATAGTAACAAAATGGCAAAAATAATGTGTTTAAAATATTATCAATGTAATGAAAGTCTAGGAAAAGATTTAGTATATTTTATCGAAGGTATATCTGCAAAGGAGAAGTGGCTAAAACTGTTTTAACTACAGAGTAAATAATGCATAAATTTCAATTTGCATCGTATACATATGTTATAAATGAGTGAAAAACTTACTTCTGATTTTCTCCATTATAGACACTATTTTGAAAAAGTGAATTCAATTGATAATTAAGAAAGTAAATTAAAAAATATATATATTTCGCGTGTTTTGCGTATTTCAAAATGACCATACAAGCTTTTCACGAAATTAAGGTTACGCTGGAAATATAATGCGATGGTTTACACATGAACCGATCAACTGGCATTTGAAAATTCTGTTCATGAAGATTGTATTTCTTCGAGATCCCCGCCACCTCTCATTTTGGTCCACCAATCTCGTGCTATTCTTCCATTCTCTTCTGTATATGCAGCCTGTCCTTATATCAAATAGTTAAAGAACATCCGAAATAAATATTTTATCTACTTTATCTATTTCTTAATTATTAAGTATTAAGAGATCTCTGAATATGATTTTCCTTGAGATGTGCACGTATGAAATCTTACTAAACGAAATATATTTTTTGTATAATATAGTTTTAAAATTAATTCATAGCAATTACATACAAATAAAATTGTGTACAATGATACAAGTTCTCGTACTATCAACAACGATTATATTGTCATTGACTAAGGACAGAATAGACATGGCGTGTCTTGAGTTCTGAAATATCGATTTTCAGGGAAATGAGTGTTCTTTACGCCCTCTGCGATTTTCTACGACAAACATTTTAAATTTGTATAAAATGAGAAGCAAAATTAGATGTACATGTAATAGTTAAATGAATTTTAAAAAAATTTTCCTTATTTTCTATATATCCCGTAATATTTATCATAACCGAAAAATGCAAAAGTCAAAAGAAAAGAATCAAGGATTATTTTTAAAAATAAATATACATAATAATAAAAATTAGAAGCTACATTATTAGCATTGTGTAAATAGCATTGAAATCTAAAATTAAAATAAATATAACATAGTATATGTATATATATATATAGTTCATAAAAATCAATTAATAAAAATATTATACGTAAAAATAAATATTTACACGAGTGCTTCGATCTATTTAGGAGAATTTGCGAATTCTTATACATGCATTTTATGGATCAAACAGAGTACAAAAAGAAAGCTGGACGTTTAATTCGGTCGATATAATAACAAAAGTTCATGACTTAATTTCTCTGATTAGTATTTTTTGCAAATAAAAATTTAATTAATTTACTTAAAACTCTAGCGTCACGTAGCGGCAAGAGAGAAACTAATTGCTATCTTTATCTCACATCACTCTCTTTGTCTATCGATGGTGCTGCCACCTGAGCCTTTTTCAACTTTGACTGAAACTAAAAAGAGTAAACAGAATAAGTTCGATAGATGGCAGTGCTTGAATTAGCAGAAAAGAATAATAACAACGTGCGACAAGGAAACATATAACTGTAATAAGAAGCACAATAGTGTGTAACAAAGCAAAAACGATTAGTTAGCTCGTTTTACCGCTAACGCGACGTTAGTATTTTCATAAATTGATAAAACTTTCATTTGCAAAAAAAAAAAAAAACTGATTAAACGAATTAATTTATGACTTCCTATAATTGCGCCTTAATATTAGCTCCCTTCGTACGTTCCATTTAACCTACAAAATGCTTATTTAAAAATTTATAAATTTCGCTCAATAGATCGAAGTACTACTAGAAATAATAATTTTATTTTTCGAAAACTATTCATTTTGTACCATTTGAGTTTTAACTATATAAAGATAATACATTTGCAATGTATACATTTGTAATATGTGGTAACAATAGTTAGGGAAAAAATTAATCACCCGGTGAAAATAACCGTAGACATGTTCATTTAAAATTTTAAAGAAATTGCGTATAATGAATAATAAACCTTTATTCTGCAATTAATTTAACTATCATAGTGTAGCTAAAAATCTCAAAAAATATTATATTTCTGTAAATCGTGAATGATATATTATTTTTTTAAAAAGTTTCATTTTGATAACAGTATCATCTGTTACGAAACGTTTCTTTTAAAATAAACATTATCAAAGGTACATTCTTTATTACATGAAATTATTTTTGGAAACTATGGAAAATTCCATAATTCTTCAACGAAATGATATTAACAATAATTAGTGAATTTTGCAAATAATTTCATTCAAGATTTCTTAACCCCTAAGATTTATAATGATTTAATTGTTTGTTTCCAGAAAATGAGGCTAAGTCAGATATTTTTTAAGCATAATTCAAGAGCCGCTCAAAGTTCAGATAAAGTGCCATTTAAAGAAATAATGCCATTAAAACTAAAAAATAAAGTTGCTGGAAACACAATCAAAACATTAGGTAAATATTACATCTCATAGTATGATAAAAGTCTTTTTTATAAAACTCAACAATAAATGATATTTCTATATTTTTCAGAGGATAAATGTTTATATGAGATGTCATTAGTATTTGCATGTTGGAAAAACACTAATTTTGAACCTAATAAATGTAACAAAGAGGTGCAGAACTTCTATGGATGTTATAATAACTATATGAAAGATGCTGTGTTACAAAAGAAATTAAAAAAAATTACTGTTCCCAGTCCTAATGCTAAAGTTTTTACTAAAGATCAAATTACCTATTTTTTACGAAAGTATCCAATTGTATAATGATCTTGAATAGAACATTAGAATATTTTGTAGAAAATATTTTATTAAATTTCAATTGTCACTTGTATAAAATTCATATTTTCATTATTATAATAAATCAATATTATTAAATAAAATACTGGAATTTATAAAAGAGCATCCGTACTAGTGTGTTTATTTGCCTGTGCTTGTAAACGCTTGATATTTAACCGTGTAGAATAATCTGTATATGAATATAAGCAAAATAATATTAACAATATTGTTCGAAATTTCTACTTTAATTACGAAAGATTATAATACATACGATGTTTAGTAGAAATAGACGTAACCTTCTGTATGGTACTTAACTGATGTTCAATGCGTTTTAGTGCTTTATAACTTTCTACATGTTCATCTCTGTAATAACAGTATGTACAAACCAATGTAATAGCACAAAAAGTGAGAGCTATTTTCCTACACATCCATACTGTATTCACTAAACTGTCCTAGATTAAAAAATAGTAATTATTTTTTTTTATACTTGATATATAGATAATAAAATAACATTATTTAATGACACTTCTATGAATTCGAATCTATTGTTACCTTATTGTCATTAGAATGATACATATTGTTATAATATTGAACTAACATTCGCTCTCCAATAACATTTAGACTTAGAATTGTAAATAAAGTAACTCTGGCATCCACAGTTCTTTTAGAAGAACTAAACAATGCGCACAAGATACAGCTAACTGTATAGTATATAATGGATTGAAACCAAGAAATTTCTCCAATGACCCAACTTTGAAAAGTTTGAAAATATGAAAATATTTGGAGCAACAATTCTCTTTGATCTTTAGCTGATTCTCTACAATAAATAATTTTAAATTACGTTTAATAAAAATTTTATATCACGTGTAAGAAACTTTAATATACTTACTTAAAATCTTTAACCAGATTATTAACACTTTCAGAAGAAGACTTCAACACGGAACCAAGTTCTTTTCCATGAGTTAAAAGTTTGTTTTGCATTTGCAAACTCTGTTTTTGACTTTCAAGCATGGTTTCTTGCATTTCTGATGCTTCTAACAATTGTTCTCTCATCCGAGAAGAAACTTGATACAATCTATAATGAAAAAGATGTATACACTTTTTTCAAAGCATACTAATGAATAAATATAAAAGGACTTACTGTTTAATAGTATTGTCAGTTTCAGCTTGCCAAGTCTCATAATTCAAATAAAAACACATGTGTGTAGTATGTATATAAAATTCATTATATACATTAAATGCTCTATCTGACATATTGTTAATGCAATTACTGTAAAATCAATGAATATAAAATTATTAAATTTAATAAAACTGGTGTACACATATATATGTTAAAAAATGTAAGAAACTTACCGGCGTTGATTTTCTACATCAATAAGGTGGCAGTCATAAGTTTTATGCCCAGAGTCTTTTAAAAAACAATTTGTCAATTTCAAAGCAAGAAAAGAATGCTGTTGATCATTTAATTTATCACAACTAATTTGTATGGTTTTAATAACATTTTGCCAACAAATACCATGTTGAGATAAGGAAGATTTTGCTATATAGAAACATAATTAATTGTAAAGTTAAAAATAATTAATTGTAAAGTTACAACATATATTTTTACATATATATATACCTTTAATCATTTCATATTGCTTTGCACCTAATTCTTTCAATATTACGCTTCCATCAATTGCAAATAAAGAAGAAATGGGAAAAAACAAAAAAATAATCACTTTACATTCTTTTGTTATCTGTAACATTGCGTATGTTTCTCTTTTTTAAAATTCATTGTAAATACATTGTAGATATATTTAAGAGAACTTCAGTGCACTTTTGAAAATTTAAATTCATCAGGTGGTTGAAGAACGAACAATAGGTTTTTTGTTGCACATATGTTAAAAAGATAAATAAAAATCCACTTTGTAATCTGCGAAATCCTTTTTTTACAGTTGTTTAAGAATTTCAACAATATATTTTTTACTTCAATTTGCATTAAATTTCGCACAAAAATTGAACGTTAAGGAAAACACGCTTTTTGTATTCGTTGGAGGCGCTAAAATATTAGGGCGTCTTTTCAAATGTTGTCGTTTCATGACAACTAAGAAAATTATACATACGTATAAAAAGTATCATTCTTTTTTAATTCTTTTTTTACATAAATTCATTACATTTTTTAATTTTTATTTTATTTGATAATGAATATTTGAACCACAGACGAGGTATACGAATAAACCTATACCATACCACGGACGAAGTATATTCATGTATCTCGTCCGTGCTCGTGCATTCACTGCTTCATCCTACTTCGATCTGTTTACTTAATGTAGTTCTCCAACTCACCGTTTTTTAAGCGTAGAGTGCGCTAAAAAGCCAGTAATTTTTTACTATGTCGGTATTTCAGAGCATGGGACACGAAATCCCATAAGATCTATTTATCTCTTCTGTGATTTGAACATACGAATTAGTGGAGTGTAGAATTACTAGCATCAGTTCTTTAAATTATTTTCATCCAATAAATATAAAATAAACAAATATGTAGATCCCTGGAAATATATCTTCCTTAATAATTAATGAAATAAAGACGATTCGTGGCCAGTTATTAAAACACCAGTGTATTCCTGATTTTGTGCGCCACCAAGTAGACGATTTCACTATCAATTTGAAATGTCGGCACACATATATTATTCGTTCTATTCTAATTTTAAATTTCATACATATTTTTTTCAGTTCCGATTTTAGACGAACGTCTACTCAACCGTATCGATCACAATTCCACTTTAAAAATGTGTTTTCACGTTAATTATTTCTTACATGTATATAAAAGCAAGGAAAACGAAATCGGAAGATTTGATATACAAAATGTTATTTATTAACGAACCATAGTTAAGTAACCATAAAAACGGGAGCTAGTTAATTATTTTGCGAAGAGTGAAATGTAATCCAATCGCAATTCCATCCATTGGCTTGTACATGCAATTCCCAAGGGACCTGTAAAAAGATAACGTACTACAGAAGCGATAGCTGGCAGCCAGCCAGTATCTTTTGCCATTGAATTTGGATGAATCGAAAATAAGTAGTCGGTATTGAGGCAGGAGGAGTGACATAGGTTCGATCTTCTGTTTCAGGCCTCAAAGACCGGTTTATCCTGCGACGAGTACCGGGATCATTGTTCCAACAACATTAATTCGTTGCGTATAAAAAAACACGCCGTATAAAAAAATTTGGACGAAAAATTGGAACGAAAATGAAATCTCGCATTAATTTCTCGTAATATTTCATTTCATTCGATAATTCAACAACTTTATATCGTGTATCACTGACGATATATTAATTTTTTTTTTTTTTTTGGAAAATCTCGAACATCATAGAAAAAAAAGAATCTTTAAGCCACGAGATTCTATAAAAATCTTCAACACTTTATCTACATTTTCAATGCCCTGGTTCTATTAATTATATGAATACCGGGATAATTGAACGTGTCTCGTAAGAAACTTTCAAGTGAAAATTACGAATACAAAGGAAATATTATTACGTTCGGTTCAGAACGAGAGGATGACATCAATCGATCAACGGTACGCCGGCGATTTGCCGAAGTATTATATATGAAAGCGAATCATCCACGCCTAGTCTGCTTGACGTCACTCTTGCAAACTGTACATCGTCAGATTAAAAATAAATGCGACCCGGAAAAACATTCAATGTCAGATAAATTGCAATCCGATCTGTTCCAGACTGCCAATCAATTTTCCGGCGAGTCCTGCGCCAAAACAATGCGGATGCGGACACGCAACTCTGTTTCTAATCTCCGGCTCTGCTCTAAATCGAAACGTTCTGGATCGGGATAAAAATACGCTTTACAAGTGTGACACACTTAGGCGCGGACGAAAATCGATGTCCTACCTATGTTGAGTGTCAATGATTAACGACTCGCTTAGCAGAAACTGTACGGGGAGGGAAGTAAAACGAGACGCTTGCCGATATTCTGATTAATTAGCTCTTGTCTCTCGTCTGAAGAATCGTTCGGTAATTCGATAGCTCGCTGTCTCCCAATGTCCGTGAATTTTAATCGAACATCTTTATAGAGAATTAATTATTAATCTGTGCAACCTTCGCGTTGAGATTTGCTCTGTTGTTTAGTTTTGCGAGACATCATGTGATACATAATCTCAGCAAATCTCAAGATTTGACGCTATTATTATTTCAATTAATTAAAAATATTTAAAAAAAGTTAAGAAAGGAATAGCAATGACTGATTCGTGTAATTTGATTTCATTCACACGATTAATTATCATTCAGTTGTTTGCACCTGAAACGATAGAGGAGAAGCCTTATCTTTGTGAATATAGAAGCAGATGGGGATTGAAGTGACGAACATTGGGGAATCATCGACGCTATTCGAACTCGAGAGTCTTCCAATGAGCCCTACTTCTTCGTCTAGAAGAGCTTTCTTCAATGCATTATTCCTAAAATACAAACAAGCTGTCATCATCATTTCTACGTATCTTTCCTTTTTTCCTACTTCCCTTACAGTAAATGTGGAATAACATTCGCTCGAGATAAGAAAGCTAAAGAAAAGATTTCTATTCTGCTCAGTTGAAATATATTTAAGATATGTGCAAATCTTCAAACATTTTGCGTTGAATTTTGCTTTCCATGCAAATGATATATAATACTTTTCTCGGATTTTTTTTTAAATCTAGGATAGAAGACGTCTTGATTAAGGAGGGCTGAGTTCAACGATAGCGTTCAAGTTTCATGATCCCGGCGGCTGGCTCTCATTTCCAGACGGGAAATTTCCGTCAATGATGTACCATGAAGATTTAATACTTTGGCAGAAAGCCCAACGCAGCGTTTACCTCTCCAAATGTCACGGAACCTATGACGTTGTGTCTCGTTTCCTCATTCTTCTTTTTCTTCTTCTTCTTCTTCTTTTTTCTTTTTTTTTTTTTTTTTATTCATTCAACATGAAGCAGCGTTCCATAAAACCCAGCCAATTCATCTTCACCGATTTCTTTCTCCCGCTACGAATATGCAGGTCCATAAATTTTGGCCGAGGTACAATAACAGCAGGGAAAAAAGAAGAAAAAGAGGAAGATCTTTCTTCTTAGAAAACACGGAGATATTTGAACACTTACCATAAAACACTTTCACGTGTTTGAGGAGATACGACTTTCTACGATATATATTGGCAAAATTTAAGATGCTTCTATAAGTGTTTTCGAATAATCTCGCGAGCAATCGTTCGTGTACACAATTTATGTAACATTTACCGCTTCTCTCTGCGATCAGAAATCATGCAAGAAAAAAAAAAAA